CATGCAGTGCTTTGCTGTGGCTTGTCTTCTGTTTTTTTCTTCTTTCTTTCTTTCTGAAGGCCTCAATCCCTGGTTGCTTTGTTTAGGCCAGGAAGGGCACACGATGAAAAAAAGGTTAAACTTACTCTGAAATACATGCAACAGCTTTGCCATTTACTGCACACTATTTTTAACCCATTTGTAAATCGGAGGCAGTGAAGGGCTCCTGCCTTCAGCAACTGAAGATTCAGCTGCAGAGAGGGAAAAAAAACACTTGCTAACTGGGGAGTGTGTGCATGTGCGCGCGTGTGCGTGTGTGTTCAGTTCCTGTTTATGATTATTCATATTATGAAGTCCCAACTTCAGTGCCGTGCGAGTCACCGTGATGCTGCAGTCCACAGGCACAATGTTGGCAACGGGTGCCGTTGGCGCATAAGTCTTGCGATAGTTGTGCTTTTTCTTAAAAGGCAGCAGCATCTGAAGCCAAGCAGCGCATTTCAAAAATGCCAGCTTTCAGTAAATATGTGTATAGGTATGTGTACGAAAAAGGAAGCCAAGAAACTGTAAACGTGTATGCACATATATTCCCTCGGCACCATAAACCTCTTGGCGCCTTCCCTTGGCGTGGCAGTGCAGGGTGGCCGGCGAGGCAGCGAGTTTGTTTTTTTTTTTTTAACATTAAAGCAACATATACATGAGCAAGCATAGGTCGATTAAAGTAAACCTGCATGTTTCTCATAGTACCTACAGTGTAACTGCAAAAGAAAACATTGTTGCAGCAGCTCATAAAAGTACTAAACAAAGTGCAAGTGAAACTGTATGGTTTATTGGTATATGGTGGTGTTTTAATTAGACTGAGCTGAAGACGTGCAGGGCAAAGCAATTGATTTCTTTACAGAAAACCTACTGAGGAAGAGTAGGAAATGCCATTTGCTTTGATAGGCTTTCCCTCCTCAAATAAAAGTTAAACCTAAGTACTAACCCCTACACTTATATGCTTGAAGAAGAAATCACTACAATAATTTATGCACTCGGAGTCCAAAAGCGTATGCTGTACTCTGAATATATTAGCTGGATTTTTCTGTCTACTATAAAGAAGAAAATAAAACCTTCCTCCTTTGAAGTGCAGGCCACTACCTCTGTTGGTTTACAGAACATATCTCTATTTTGATCAGTGTCGCTCTTGTGCTTTCCTGACTCTTTCAAGGCTCCCTCCCTTCTGCAGTCCTTTTCACCTAGCAGCTGTCATTAATTTTGACTGTATTGCAGGTTACGGGAGAAAGGAGGCAATCAGTCGAGGAGGTCCATGCAGGAAACTGCCGTAACAGAGCCACTGAGACCAAGGAAAGGCTTTGGTGAGAAACTCTTGATTTATTAAGACAGATAATTCTTCTGCTGTAAACTAGAACCTTTGCGTAGTAAGTGCCTTATATATTTTCTCTAATGAGCAGGAACTATTTATTTACACGTTTGCGTGTGTACTATGTGTGTTGGCACATCAAATATCATAGGCCAGTTCATCTACCTGCACTGAATTTTCACTTAAAAAGCTAAGTAAGTCCTTCATGCTAGAGCTGACAGGTATACGGGTCTCACAGAGCTGCCCCCCGGCATCTTGCTGCATTTTGCTAGCAAAGGGGACCAGCTTTGTGTCTGGCAAAGCTGACTTTCTTCCCCTGCCCCAACCCCGAATCCCAGCAACTATCACACCAAGCTCAGCAGCAAGAGGAAGCAGAGCACCAGCCGCATGGCTGGAGCTCGCAAACCCACCTGAGGCGCAAGGAGCTGCAAGGCTGAACCGGCACACTGAGAGCAAACGGTGTCCAGGGCATGCCAGGGCAGTGGGACACCCTATTAATAAACGAGGAGCAAAGTAAATCATTGCTATTGTAGGAGAGTCCTATGTCAGCACTGGGTTACAAGATTGGACGTGAATTTACAATGAAAAAAAAAACAAACAAGCATGCTGTCAAAAGAAAACCAACAAAACAAAAAAAATTCACCCCAGAACTTGTTTCTTACCCTCGGTGTTATGAAGACCCCTTTCTCCTGCCCTCACATGCTGGCGGAGGAAATGGGTTGAGCAAATACTTTGGCATTAGTTGAATGTTAACTCACAGAAACAGAGTCCCTGATTAGCCACCTGATTATACCTCTTTATCATTAACTATGGCGTGCATTGACTATGGTGCACTAATGGGGGTGGGGGTGGGTCTGGCATCCTTTGGTTTACAGTCCGGGGATTCTCCACACTTACTCTGTGTGTCAGTGAGTGAGGTAACATTTTACTAAGATTACCCAAAATAATAAAACATTTTTGAACTTAAATGACTTATTTTTTACTAATACAAGCACTGCTAACAGAAGACGAGCATGGAATGCTTGGTCTCCACGTAGTTTTGATTTACAGGACCGCATAACGAGAGTACATAGCTCAGTACACAGGCGAGATGCTCGTGACCAGCCTACAGGCTGCCCAGGTTAGGCAGGCAGAGAAACAGTATTCTAATATGTCCCAGAAAAAAGCCAGATAATAAAATGTTTGGCCTCGAGGAGATTGGAGGTACATTTGCATGTGTCATTCCCCTTCAAAATTCTGAGGTATTTGCACTTCTTAGTGGTGGAAACATACGGTGCTTGTGAGTGAGCTGCACAGAGCTCTGTGTGCACAGAGCTTTTTGGTGCAGAACGAGCTGTGGACCTGGGTATAACTTGGGCACTTCCCCCTCCCCTCCCCAACCTGGGCTTCGCTCACATTACTCAGCAAGCATTGTGTTAAGGTGTATCAGCTGTTACAATTGCCTTTTGATACACACCTGTAATATATCAATCCCTGTCTTCCCTCCCCTCCACACCCCTCCCCCAAAATGGGCCTTTGCCCAAGACAAAGGGAAATGTTTCAACGTGACTCTGGCTTTCCATGGTGGGCAGGAACAAGGAAGTTGGCTTGGTTACTAGGATCTTGCCACCAAAAAAAGGTCTGTGGGGAAAAAGTGAAGAAGGCATTGCTACTGGAGGTGTTATGCCTGTATGTGCTCATAATAAACAAAATTCATCTGACTTGCATCAGAGAAAGCTGGGGGTGAGGCGAGATGTGAAACGTCTCTGGAGATGTTGCTGGGCTCTGAGAAAGAGCCATAACTAGCATGCAGAACAGACTACTAAATATAGTGCTGGCATCTGCAATCATGAATATATTTTCTGCAATGCTAACCGATTAGAGCGAGTGACATTAAATGGGTGTACAGGTTCCACCAATTTCAATGCTGCTGCTGTTTCTTTTGGTGGAAACTCTGCTTTGGTAGAAAGAATTGTTGAAACTGCCACTATTTAAGTGATCCTAGGTGCCTTCATGCTGGTATTGTGATAGCAATGTTGCAATTGCACCATTGGAAGGACTGCAAAGGCAGATTGGAAAGGCAATACAGACATCATCAAGGGTTTTATAGCTGCTGTTGAACAAATTACATACATTTTTACTTAGAAATAGCATAGACCATACTTCTCTTTTACATGCTGCTACTTCAGTATATACCATTAAGTGTATTTCGCAGTCAATGGAGTACGTTTGATGCTGCCAGAGGTCTGCTGGGCTTGTCGGGTAACTAAGCGCCTCTCATTTATAATAGTCTCCAAGCCTACCAAGGGGAACGAGCCGTGGCCTCGGCTCGTGCAGCAGAGCCCTCCCAGCACAATTTGCCTTGCATCAGCTTTGTTTGTATCCGTTGTACCGGTCAGGTGCTGATTTCATAACCGTGTTAGTAACTCCGCGTTTCGGGAGTTATCCCTCTGATTTGACGAACGTATTTCTGCGTTAGAGCAAATTTACTTTACTGTTGAAGTTTACTCTCTGCATGCTTGTAACAAAATCCAATTGCTTCGTTAAGGTATTTTGACTACTGTTGAATTATGCTAGGTATGTATCATCTCATACTATAATGAATAGTTACAGAATAACTTTTCTGATTGGCAGTAGTGCGTTTCAGCAGCAAACTATTTTGAATAAGTTGTTCCTTCAAAGGAAAAATTCTCTTTCAGAATAAATGAGAATCAAAGCCAAACTGTTTTTTTTTTTTAATAACCTCCTTATTTTTTATGTAACCTCTCAAGGAGCCTTTTAATTTCTAAGAATAGCACTTTACCCTGATCAGCTAAAAATAAAAAAAAAAACATTTAATCACTGGTTGCTTGGCGTTATGCCAGAAGCGTCTGAGGGTGGGGAGAGTAAAGCAGTCAGGCTTAGTGCTTTGATGCTTGCTGACAGGTACTATGGGGGAGAAAAAGGCACAGCATCACTTTTTGCTTTACAACGTTGTGAATAACTGCATTAAAGGCAAATAATGTAAAAAGCCGATCAAATCTAGTCAGAGTTAAGTTAAAAGTGGATTCTAATTGGCTAATTACCAATAATTAGCATTTACCGAGCTGCAGTTTTTTTACTTTTTTTTAATTAAATATTTTTCCTCCCTCTCATACAAACGCAAGTAGGAAAATGCCAGGCATACACAGATTGAGAACAGCAGAGGAAATCCTTTTCATCTGCCAGTTCTGTAGATCCCTGGCTTTCTTTGTGACAGTTGCATTGCAAGTAAACAAACAGCTCTATTCTTACAAAGTTTAATTTTATTTAAGCCTGCTAGAGCAACTGGAAGCTGAGCCACTCTTTC